ATCATCATCATCATCATCATCATCATCATCATCATCATCATCATCATTGTTTTTTTCTTCCGTTATATTTCTTTTTGAAGGGATAGGTGGCTTTCCAGCCATCCAGCTGGTCCCTTTGTCAAAGAAACTCGTTTCTTCACGTCAGGTCGCCCTCCCCCGACATGAGCATCGCCGCTGGAGAGCTGCCTGGGGCCAAATCACACAGCGTGCCTCACAGTGGTGTGGCCGATGTGGAGGGAGTGACAGCACCTTGCTACCAGTAGCTTCTTGTTACTAGTAGCAAGAATGCTACTAGTAGTAATGCCAGGAGCCCCTAATAGTGTCCTTGCTCCTAGTAGTAAAGCCAGGAGCCCCTAGTAGCTTCTTGTTACTAGTAGTTGCTAGTTTTAATGGCCTCCAACCTAATAGCGATGGCCTCCAGCCTAGAAGCCTTTCTTACTTGCTACTCTCATGACCGGGATTTGCACCACCGGAACTGAACGGATTGGAAGACTATACCGGAATGTCTGAGAACAGGGACACCTTCCGAAGCAAAGTTGGATGACCCAAACGCACTGGTCGATCTTCCAATGTTCGGAGAAAGCCGGGATCTTCGGTCGGAAAGAAGGAGCCCCCAGACCCCAGGAAGGTCTTTCCTCAGTCCGTTGCAGTGGCTGGGGGCCGCTGGCCGTCGCGCCAGAGTGGAACCCCCAAGTCTTTGGGGAGATCCTGTGGGAGTTCGTGTGTTTGTCGCAGACATGTACTTGGAAGGGAGTGACATTCATTCTAGAGAGGTACCGTAGGTAGTATACTACTTGGAACTCTTGGAACCGACGTCCCTAGGATGTCTCACACTTGAACCGCAAAAAAAACAAACCCAACCAACTTGTACCATTTGCTTTGCTCAGGTGCATGTACGGCTTAGGAAGGTGAACAGGAGCTTTCCAGTTGTACCCCTTCACTGCTTCGGTGCCGTGTGGTCACTCGGTGCCGTGACACGGTCAGTGGGACGACCTCACCGGAGACCGGACGACCCCCCCTGGTGCTGTGCCATCGGTCAGATGCCATAGGCAAAACACGAAGAGCAAGACCTTTAAGCACCACCGGAGACTCAGGAGATCAAGGATGTTAAGCCATTTTTCCCAGGATTGGACCTCACGGCTGGCGGAGTGCCGAAGGTCTCCACAGCCGAAGGCGTCGCACCCCAAACGTCACAGTCGCCGCTTTTGTGGTGAAGCTGTTTGATCAAGGGCAGCTGGTTCCAATGCATAACATGTCTATCAGACCTAAGGCTTCAGGATCAAACAAAGAACATGGTGTTCGCTCCATCCGTCCATTCCTTCTGCCTTTGCTGCCTTTGGCCCAGATCCTTTCGTCCAAGGCCAGCTCCTCGTGAGCTTCCAGAGAGTCGACAAGCGGACTACGAAGCCGCGCTTTGCGAGCAGGATCCGCCGGTCTCGACGCCCTCGTGCGGACCTCGTGGGATTTCCGTGCGACCCGCGTCCGTGGCCACTCGGATTAGGCCAGCCTCGCCCTCGGATTTGCAGTGGTACATCGCCACATCGCCAGACAGATTTGTGAGTTGTTTCTTGCTCACATAAGTCATAAGTCCCATGGTCTTGGTGAATAAACCCCATCATTGGCGGGCCTAGGTAGTTCCACCACGTGGAGTAACTATTAAGACAATTTAAGACATATTAAGACCAACCAATGTGTTCAGCGACAAAGCTGAGGGTTCCTTGGGCCAGTGGTCAATCACAGACCACGGCTATGGTCAATCACAGACCACGGTTACTGACAAGGAAGTATATGGAGACGAGGGTACTGTGACAACCCCCGATCTTGCGAGCAGGCTGACGATGAGCAGTCTTTTTATTGACCTCCAACGTGATTAGGAAAGTTCTCTTGAACCGTCACGGCTTTCACACGGGTGTTGCACATGAGTCCTTGCATCACTTGTTTGCTTTCAGGAGTATCACCTTGATCCCAAGCCAGTCGACCCAGCGCGGGAGCACAGCCTGCTCTCGATGTCTTCTTTATTGGACATATAGCGTATAACTACAACATATGATATGTTCTTGATCGTACTGGCCTTGCTGGGTACTTTCCTCGTGAAGTTGCCTGGCTGAACCAATTCCTCCCCCCCAGGGCGGGGCTCCTTTTGCTTCAGTCGGGCATTGGATCTCTGGGATTAGTGGCTAGGCCTGTTCACCTTCAGAAACCTGCCTCCTGAGCCGGGATCATGAAATATGCTACACGGAAAAAAAACAAAGAAAACACATCAATGTCCATGATCCGACCAGACAGACACATTGTTTTAAGAGTGTCAAAGGATCGAGCTGACCAATAATTACCTGGATCATCCGTTCGGGGTCGCCATTAGACTAAGAGTATCTAAGACTGCTCCACTACTTTTGGACCTCCATTGGATACCCAGACACTATACTCCTACTATGCACAATTCAAGAGCATCTATTTGGCACTTCAACGTTCTCTACAAGGTCTATAGGCTCTTCGCAGTCCGGTGTATAAGGCACGTATCTATCTATCTATAATCTATCAATCAATCCATCTATCTATCTATCCAGTGAGGAACTTTGGGCCAATACAGTAGTACCTGGCATAGCTGAAAAAGTCTTAGACTACTGGGACTACTATTGCGTGAAAATGCCCGACTCGATGAACAAACTGAGGTGAGTCTCATGCTTGGTGTGCAGCCACAGGCAGGCAGAAGAGGATCATTTTGATAGCAACATGCATGACTTTATACCAGTTGACGGGGATGCGGAAGTGGATGCGGGTAGAAACAGTATATATATATACATATTCAACAACCATTATCCTTGCCTTACCACATGAGTCCTGAGGGTGGCAGCGATGTAGGGGACACTGGGAGCATCATGTTTTTTTTCTCTGAACCACGACAATGCCAAAATCCACATGGCCGTTCCATGCCAGTTCCATGGACTTGCACTGTACATATTAACTAATTACTATATTATATACAATAGTGGGAAAAAGACAACTTCACAAACTGACATGTTTGAATATTATGGGAAGTTCTCAATGCTTCTTAACAAAAAAAACAGTCGGCTGAAACAAACAGAGGTAGGGAAACATCCTCTGTGGGATTCACGAGGAACCTGCAGTGCCAACAGGTGGGCGCTTCGAGTGCTAGCCCTTTCGCCTGTGGGGGTGCCCATAACATGGCGGATTCTGGCGGGGCTGGATTCTGTGTGGACGCGTGGGGCCAAAATGGATTGCTCCAAAAGAATGATTGTTGTTGTTCCTCCACACCTAAGACCAGAAATAGTTCTCACACATGTTCTCACAATCAATTGATTAACCAGTTTGAAGTGACCTGCACTGGTGTTTTCTTGGCATAATTTGCAGCACTATGCTTCATTGGAGATGGTGGAACATGTTAAATGTTGCACATATTGGAGTGAGCGGCTTCTTGGGCAGAACACGCCATCAGTGAGTTGTGACAATCGTGGGTCTCATGCCGTTGTCAAGCGCATGTTGCTTTAGAAGATCCATCTGGAATGAAAGAGGAGAAGAGGATGGTGGAGGAAACCCCTTTCACCAGCTCATGTCTGAGACTGCTCGAACTCGAGATTGCTGCAATAGCCCTCAAAGCGATCGATTGAGAAAGGGCAACTGATTTGGTGTTGAAATCTTTGCACATTGACCCGGGCATATTGGTCACAGTGGTCACGCAAACCGCTTACTCTCCCTGTCGAAGCATCTCGCACAGGTGTGGCTGACAAAGCCAGCTGAAGTGATTGTAGATTAGCCGTAGTGAATCGTTTCGTGATGTTTTTGGACAGCGCAGCTGCGACGAAAGCACTGCTGTCGTGATACTCACTATGATCAGCTCGTTCAGCTCGTCACCGGAACTGGCGCGCTCCGCAGGACTCCTCAGGGAATGGGGTTAACCTCCCCCAACCAGAACGTGGATATTGTACGGTAACGCAAGAGAACCGGTAATTGGCCATCAGGGTTTCATGTAATGAACTGAAAGTCACCTTCCTCGTCCTATTCGTGAAGAGAGAAGCTCGTCCTAGCTTGGGAATGGTCCGTCCTCGCAGAGATTGAAGCAGTTGTTTGAAGGGGGGACGTCACCCGCCTCACCGATGGTCCCACCTAGGCTGGGTGGTGGATTTAGATGTCCGCCTCACAGATGAGGCGGGGAGGTGGACCGTTTTGCCCGTGGGTCGCAGCTGAACGCACTGTGGTTGGGGAGAACGCATCCATATGCACCGGATCCCCTGGATTTGATTTGGTTTTGGGGAGCTGGTTTCCGGCTGGTGGTTTTGGATGAAATGGTCGTTTCGTGGGACGTTCGTTTGCGTGATGGGTGTTGGACTCGGGGCGAGGGAGCGGAGCGTTTTCCGCGGAAGTGTCGACTTCAGGAGTTTGGAGATTTCTTCGGAGGAGTTTGGTGATGAACATTGACGGAAGTTTGGCATTTGGTTTGGAAACACAGCCCCTTAGTCCACCAATTTTTGCACCAGAAAGTCATAGCATGGGGCCAAAGTGTTTGAGTTATATAGATGTTTACCTGTGTTTTACGAGGTAAACCAACACCAGCCTTCAATGAAAAGGAGCTGAGGAATTCCAGAAAGGTGCCTTTAGTGCTGTGCGTAATCTGGATCATCACTCCAAAATGTTCTTATCACCGAAGCCCGCTGAGAATTCAACCAACAAAGAGTATGGGAGAACAGAAAGCCATCAAATCAAACTATCTAAAAAAGATCAGCATATCAAAACGAACACATCAACATTATATCAACATCCATGAAGCAACTGACCAGCCCATTGGATGTAATAATCCTCACCTCCCGGTGGCACTAGTAACAAGGGCATCGCTACGTTCATAGCAAGGACATCGCTACGTTTGTCGCTTCTTGTTACTTAGCTACTAATAGTTATGCCCTTAGCTACGTTCGTAGCTTCTGGCCACGCAGCCTCCCGGCAGCCTCGGAGGACCGGGCGACCGGGCGTCGAACGGTCGCAGGCGGCGATGCTCTTCCCCTTGAAGTTCATCGCACAGGTGACGGGTGGAACTCACCGGTGCCGGTGGCGGCAAAGGTGGGAACATATTCTTTGTTGGTGGGTCAAGAGTCAGTGGGTGCATGGAGGATGTGTTTTGTTTTTGTTTTGTTTTTTGCCCCCTCAAGTTTGATACTTACATATCACTCATTTTGTGGGTACCTTGTTGAGACAATCAGACAATTGGACTCTTCCTTAATTACCTGAATTCACGGTCATAAACACACCTACTGTACCATGATATGCCGACAGGTCACCACAGGTAACTTGTAAGTCCACAAAACCTCCATCGTGGTGAGCTTCCATTGAGTTGGGTGCTGGTAGATTATTCGGGATGTTTGGGGCTCTAAACATGACCCAGCCATTGCTACGCTTACGTATGCTTACGTGGAGTGGAACATTTGTTTTGGAGCCCAACATGGGTTTATGCAAGACGACAATAAGTAATAAGTTCAGATAAAGTCCTGGTAGACATGGGTATCATTTAAGATATCAGAGAATATACATGTTACATGTCAATGTTGTCAAACTTTGTTGTGGGTGCAGTTTGGAGTTGAGTTTTGTGGATTCCACCCGCAGCAAAGCCAATAGTAGCAGATCCAGGCCTGGTGTGACTGGGCAACTCCCGGGTGACGATTGTACTCGTTGTATGCAGTATGCAGATACGTATACAAACCAGCACCACCGCCACCGAGCATGGTGGTTCTTGGACGGAAAACACATATATGTTTTGTTCTTGGGGGGGTCCCTTTGAGTGGTGCTGGTATTGTTTATTTGACGTAGCCTTTTGTTTCAGTAATTAGGTTCTATCATTTTTTCTCCTTAGTGGCTACGTCACCTTTGTGTGTTTGCATACGTTTGCATCCTGTGTGTGTGTGATCCACAAATCCACCCCAGTCCGAACATCAGCATGTGTTTACATGTAGTAGTAAAGGCCCGAGCCGAATCCACACCTTTAGACTAGCTCGGGGAAGAAGCGAAGACGCCATCAGTACACCTACGCCATCCTCTTCGCCTAGGACGCGTTGGGACGCCCCACCCGACGAAGCAGCCCGGATCGAGCAGGTGAAGGCAGAGCCCTCGCAGGGCTTGATGCATCTCAACAACGAGGCCGCGGTTTGGCAGTGGAAGCAAGGGGAATGAGAGCTCATGGTAGGGTTCACCACTGGACTGACTGGACCACTGGACGTTGGATCGTCATTGGATGACCCAACGAAAGCTCGCGGTATGTTCACTAGAAGTTCGTTCGTTCGGAATGATGACTGTTCGTGTGTTCGACTGTGCCAGCTCTTTGCTCCGTTTGCTCACAGTAGAGCTTCTCATGTGGTGGTATGAACTCTTGCACCAAATAAAGCTGGAGAGCTTGAACAGTCTCCTAGATTTCCATGACAAAATCTGGAGCGCCACCATCAACTTGGCAAATGGATGAAGTTAAAGACATCTTCAGCGCGAGGAACAGTATGAGCACCCACAAACAGAATGGATCATGGATCCAGAGTTCGATTTCAAAAACTGCAGGTTTGACGTCACATTTTCTGCAGGAATCAAGACGAGAGAGGGATTTTAACTCCTCGCATGTTATTGCACCATTGCACAACCAATCTCCGAACTCAAAGATAAACATATTGTGATAGTGATATTTGGATATATTTGGGTCATTTGGGGTTTGTCCTACCTGCAACAGTCAGTAAACAATTATCATCGACTGTTACAGGCTAGAGGTAATAGGCAAATCCGGATAGATCCAAAGTGGGATAGACCGGGCCTTCGGGTTGATTCACGCGGCGTCCTTCATTTGCCTGGAACACAGGGGCGAACGGTGGTACTATAGACAAAAGTGTCTCGAAACTTCCAGGTATAGATTGAGACATATAATTTGTGTGGAGCAAAGTTGGCAGGCACCAAAATGATGCCCTTGCGTTTCCTTGCACTGAAAGAAAGTCAGCGACATTGGCCATCAACATTCCAATGAATGCTGAGGTGATCGAAATCGGGACGTCCTCGTCTTCCTCGTGTTCCGGGACGTATCAAAAGAGACACCCCGACGACGTTTGTCTTAAGGGCGGCGCCCCTGACTGGCCAAACACGTCGCCCCCGGAACCTTGGCACGTCCCAGGCAGCTCAAACCCGGGAGTTGGACTGTCTCCATGACCTCACCGAGGAGACGTCTTTCGGTTGAGACGGTGGAGACGATGTGAAACATCCGTGTTTGGCCCACGCGCGGGGCGAATGCCCTCGGCCATCCCGAAGCAACCAGTGGAAGGAGGAAACCAAGTAGACAAACCGAGTAGAGGGAAAGAGGAGAACAGCAGGGTTGGTGGGTGGGTGTGGAACATGCTCTTAAGACTGGGTGTGTTTGTGAGTTTCTGTTTTTGAGAGGGTCACTACAGTAGCTTTTATGGTGCCATGAACTTACTTGTGGAGCTCTAGACTATAATTTAGTAATACAATTACATCATGTAGTACAATAGGATCTATGATTTGCAGTTACCATGGTCACTATGATTGCGTGGATAAAGGCTCCCAACAAAAACATACTGTAACTTTTCGAATGCTTCCGAAGCAGAATACATGACTTGGGTGATCCCTTTGCTTAATTAGGAATCCAAAGAGAATCACTGACTCGATCCTATTCAATATTCAGAGTCAGTGATCCTATTCAATATTCAGGTTCCTTATGTTTCTGACAACCAGGTATTTGAGTGTTTGATGGCAAAAGGCATACATTTGACATGTGCACGTTGATGATATTAAGCCGATGATGAGGTAGGGTCCAAATACAATGTGCAGAAAATGCGTTGTGTGCCTGTGCAAACATATGAGCTATTCGATAAACCTCCGTGTTCATGTTTAATCAGTGTGTTGTCATATCGAAGTTGTGCGTAAGCAAAACCTGCACGCGCGTAAGGTTGCGTAAGCTTTTTGTAAGGAAACCTTTTGCGTAAGCCATGCGTAAGCTTTGAAGAAATAAATGATAAATACATGAGCAACCCCTCTCAGAAGTGCTAGGACTAAGGAACAGTCCAACTCCACACATACATACACAATCCAAACTCGAATTGCTGAACACACACAGTCCAAACACCACAGCTGAACAGTCAAACCTCCATGTCAGACATGAGAAACTCCAGGTGATTTTTGTGAGTTCCGGCGCGTAAGCCGCGCGTAAGGTCCGCGTAAGCTCCGCGTAAGTTCCGGTGTCCTTTTCCACCAGTAGCCCACATGCCTCCTTCTCGGAAACCGTTGCGTCAGCGGCAGCGTGTGGTTGAAGACCTCTATATTATACAATGTGGTTTGCGCGCATCGCCCTTCCACTTCCACTTCTCCACTTCCTGCTGCTGCTGCTAGTCTGCTGCTGCTGCTGCTGCTGCTGCTGCTGCAGGTCTGCTGCAGGTCTGCTGCTAGTCTGCTGCTGCTACTGCTGCTGGTGCTGCTGCTGCTGCTGCTTGGTCGCTTCTGCCTTCGAGCCTTCTTCTTCGTCCTCATCCTCAAGTGCTTCTTCAGCATCCATATCCGAAGATTAGGTGTAGTAAATGTCCATTGTACAAAGTATGCAGCGCGTAAGCTCGCGTTGTGGTGTCAGCTGCATTTTGTGCAAAACACGCGTCGCGTAAGGTCTGCGTAAGCCCTTCTTGCTCCAAGTGTACCGCGTAAGCAAACATGTGAGTCGCGTAAGGCAGCGTAAGCACAAGCGTAAGCCCAATGATACGACATGGGATTTCATCAAGGTTTTCAGAAACGCTCATATATCATCAATACGTATACCTCATAGTTGACTGATGTGGAAAATCGTGGATGTTGTTTCTATACATATATTGAAGCTGTATACATGGGGATAAAACAAACACTGCACACACACACACACCTGCCTTTACACAGAGTCTCTTCCAACACCTGGCACTGTTCTGTCGGAATTGGCCGAACGATCAGGAGGAGCGCTTCAGTCGGTTGCAGCGTTGGGCAATGATTACCCATGTGCCTAGCTTACTTGAGGAAGGGGGTTGAAAGGCAAAAGCAGATTTGATGTCTGTAAACTCTTCACGTTTTGGTGGTTTTGGCCTCGGCCCCAAAAGGTCTGCCGGCACCTTGGTTTTTTAATGAAAGCACGTGGGCAAGACTGCCGAAAGACCGTTGGCACGAGTTCCTCCTGCGCGTTCAGTCGATGCCAGATCGGAGTTGTTCGTCGTTCGCCTTAGGTGGCGATGGCCCCTCAGCTGGAGCGGATGAGCCACCAGACGCTGTTCCAGGCACGAGCGGAACACTTCTGACTTAAGGCTGACGGGTGGATGACTGCCCTGGATCAGGAATTCCGGAACTTTTCAATGCAAAAGGTGAGAACATGGAACTCTGGGAATCCAGGTGAGATAGTGTCGCCCACCGAGGGACTCTCACCTCGTGGCGTGGATGGATGAAGCACCTGTTGGGCCGAACCTGGTGGGCACCCTCAATTTCATGACACAAAGAGCAATCAAGTTCTCTCGCGGATCCCTCGTGGTGGTAGTTCAACTCAACATGCAGTTTTTGATGCAAGACGTGTTTCTTCCCAAGCGCCAAGCTCCTATCGAATAAGACGTAGAAGTTAGAGTCCGAGTTTCCGTTTTGTTGCGTGGATGATCGAGGGTCACAACCGGCGATAAATCCAAATGGTATCCATGCGTGCTTGCCGAGATTGGGTTCAGATTGAAGGTCTGGTCTCCATTTGTTCTCCAGAGGTAAACGGCCTACAACTTTGTCTTCATGTATTGGATTTGTCCGAGTCCAGGCTGGTGATCCTTTCAACAAAGCTCCACAGGCCTGGATGCCTCCCCTCCCTGCATCACAACATCATTCTCGCCAGGAGCCCCCCCTTTTCACCTACTCCGATGATCTCCCCAATCACCTCATCTTCCTGAAAAAGTTCCAGCCTTCTTCCCAATCTCTCAGATGAAGACCTCCAGAGTTTCCAGCGTCTTCCCAATCCTCGCGACCTCACTGCTTTTCAGAACTGAGCGGTTAGTAGTAGTACGGCCAGGAGCCCCGTTCGTAGTGTCTGGTCTCTCCGTTCGTAGCGATGCCCGAAATATCCCGAAATGCTCTGCTCCGTGACCTTTGCGTCCTTGTTTTCAGGCCGCCAAGATGCGGGGCGTCTCCTTCGATTTGTTCTTCAACGTGGGCTGCATCTTCACGTCGCTGGGCGTCGAATCCCAACGTCTCGTGACGTGTCGGGGCGTGCCGTCGTCGGGGAGGACGTCCGCATGAGAGCGACACGGCAGAACGCTGCCAGGATGCACCTGGCACCTGGAATCCAGTGAACAATCCTGCATGGACCTGGCAATATCACAGATTATTGACAACCATTAACAACTCGTTTTTCTGAAGGCTAATGACAGGTGCAAACAGAATTGAAGAAGTTCAGTACCAGCGCGTACTTTTTTGTGGAACTGCATTATGCTGCTTTCAACTCAAGAATTCTTCTATTACTGATTACCATCCGGACCCTCCACAAGTCTGAAGCCAATTGACCACAGGCCCCACACATTGACCACCAGAAGGCTTCCAAAGTAGATATACCATCAGGATCTGATGGAGATTACGGCCAGATGCTGCGCATATACTGTGCATATACTGTAGCCAGGGTTTAACTTAAGTGCTATCTCCAAATGGAGCTCCTTTAAAGGATCGTCAGTGAATACCGCAGATCGAAGAGGTCTCTTTTGTTGGAATTCCAGGCTCAGGACAATCCCAGAGAACGCATTGATCCAAGCGTTAAAGAAACACCTGACATGGATTCGATGGCTGTTCGGTGAGCGCCAGACATGCATTGACAACGCCAAGGTTTCTGGATGTGGTGCATCAGTTGTTCTCCCTCATGGCCGTGGAGAAGACTCCGGAGGCTTGTGCTAGGCGAGGCGAGTTGAGGTCGTGGAAGCGAGTTGAGGTCGGGTGGAAGACTGATGGACGGACCGGACTTTGGGTCTTTGCCGTTGGCTGAACATGCTTTTGTTTTTTTTTAAGCATACTAAATCATCATGTGGCACAAGTTCCTTTTTCTCAAATTAATTGTCTTCCGGAAGCGGACGTTGCAACTCTGCTCAAGTACGCGAGTTGGGAGAAGGCGGATCAAACACGAAAGCAAGTGAAAACCAGACCACATCACACAAATTCAGACATCGCTTCATATTCCATCATGTGGGTGTGTCTCAGCATGGATAGTAAGTGAATGTAAAGGATCTTTGGTTTGCAGGTTGTTTTTGATGTTTTTTTTTGCATTGCTTTGGCCCCCAGTGGGACATGCCATACTGTTTGACGAGGCTCATTAGACAAGTTCGAAAGCAAACGCTGTCAGGAAGATGTCCATGGCATTAGCCGCCATTGCTGAAGGACCCCGGATGCCGTCGGTGCCATGGTGCCCTTGATGATTGTATTACTATGTAATATAATACAAGTTGACAGATGATCTCCACAAGGGTAATTCATAAGGAGTTGTGTGCATGTGCGTTTCCATTTCAACGGGCTACTTTAGGTTGCTTCGTCTGCTGGTTGGGATACAGGGACCATTGGAGCACTTTTTAGAGGATAGAATTACCACAAAGCATTTGGAGTTCAGTTTAGCTGTGCTATGACGTCAGAGAAACTCTTGGGTGACATCAAACGACTTGTCTGGGAGTCGTATGCTGTTGACCTCTCCGGGAGTCCATGCGCCTGATTCGCTCGGACCACCGGCGGGTGCCCTTTGGTCGCAGGAGCCAAAGGCGTCGTTGGCGTCCGGAAGCCTCAATGAATGTGGGATGAGCTGTTGGAGGGACAGCTTGGAGACTAATCACCTCAAAAAACTTCGATGGTACTTTGGTAATTAGTGTCACTGTGGGTGTCAGTCCATGAGGATGAGCTTTGGTCCCTGAAAATATCATTCAGTGGGTCATGCTGTGCAGGATTGATGTAGGGCCTGCGGGGGTTGCTGGACCTCTACAGAGCGTGACAAGTTTCTTTTGGCTGAAGAGTTTCTCTTATTTGTCCCAATTGGGCTGACCCCTCAGATGATCTCAGATGCCTTTCGACTATGCTTGTGAAACCCAGGCAACAGTTGTTTTCTTTGGGCTGACATGTGGACGGGTCCATCTACCGCGGTCCAGGCGAGACAGGTGGTCAAGCCGAAGGTGGGCGCCAGCGAGGCCGGGGGCGGCTGATCGCAAGCAGAAGGGAAATGATGCAAGTTTCATATGTCTTGGAAGGCTTCATCATAATCAGATCATCAATGAATTAAGATTGAAATTAGGGGGGACCCAGAAGTTGCACCAAACTCATGGTTACCCCACGTGGTAGGATCGTGGTAGGCATTGTTATATAGGTCCCTCGCCCTCCACCGATCCGACCAATCGTCAGGGCACCGACCTCCTCACGCTGAGCGATGTGCAGATGGCCTTGAGGGTGGCAACGGGGGCGGTGATGTCCAGCAGGACTCATGTCTGGTCGGGGAGAAGGGCATTATATGGACTTGTTGCTGGGATTGTGTATTCATGCACCTAATTCTTAGGGGGGTGTTTGTATATGAATCCGCCAAGAGCAAAGGCTTGCTGTGTTTCCTTTGCATCATCGCATTGGCTTCTTCCCCAAAGATTATGTGTAGGTTGCAGGTAACTTCTCCCACAAGCCTTGATTTCGAAAGTTGCAACTGCGGAAAAAACTGGTAACCCAGGATCCTGCAGATCCCCTGACTGTATAAGATCCATTAAACCCAAATCCCCTCCACACACATCGACAGCCTGTCATGTATTCAACTTCGACCCCATGTTGGGCACGTACTGTAATACCGATTTCGGCGAGGTGATCCACGAGTAGCCCCAAAAGGGGTGTTCTACGTCAACTGTGTGACTCCCAGTCCAGGTGGATGAGGGGCATGGCTACATGACCCACCACGGCCACATGAGCCACACTCCAAATGGGATAGATCGGAGGATGGGGTGTCACATGGGGTCACTCAGCAAGTGCATGGGGACCGACTGAAGATCAATCAAATATTTGATGTTGTATAAAGATCACAAGGAGCCGAACCCTGTGTCGTAGAACCAACATGAACCAACATAAGCCAAAGCTGATGTTTGATGATCTTTGTTTGATAGCTTTGTTGAAAGTCCTGTACTTTCCAGGAAAGAAAAACACGGCCCGAGATCAAACCAACTTACTTTTCAGATGTGAATTTGCCATGGGACTCCAAAGCCAGCCTTTACCACGCAACCCAGCCTCCACAGTGCCAGGTCTGCCTGCGACGCTTCAGCGATCAAAAGCCGCTGGGCGATGCCAACGGTCCAATGGTCCCTGATCATCATTCGGATCATCATCCTTCACCTTTCAATCTCGTCCACTCTTATAGGCATTATGTGGGTCATTGTGTGGGGGGGCGTGCAACTGCCGGGACAAAGCTACCAGCTGACTTCCATCTTGGAGGGGTTTTCTTCTGCCGTGGATTTGTCATCTTGACAGCCCAGAGTATGAAACCCGATGGCCCCAACCAACCAGAAGGTAACTAGACCCTCTAAACCAAACACCCGAACCGGAGGTAGTTGGAGTCAGGCTGATTTCATGGAAAAAAATCATAGTACGTGTTTGTGTTTTTGTGCGTGGGTGCGTGGGTGGGTGGGTGGGTCTCGAAACTATAGGCCACACTGCCAGGCGAGGGAGACTCGATGCCCTTGGTGGAGACGAAGGAAGCACCTCCATCGCCCCACCCCAACGACGAACGCAGAATACGAAAATCCGTCAAACAGTCGGCGCTGAGGCAAGGACCTCCATGAGTCAACGAAAACAGCCATGCCATGGTTTCTTAGCTCCACACGAGGAGGACGACAAGAAGTGCCAAGAGATTATGAGGACTTGCTGATCCTAGCGGATACCCTGCTAAGGGTATAACCTTCAGGGGTTTGGTGGTAAATCCCTTGCAAAACACAAAGCCTAAAGAGTAGACCTAAGGACTGCCAAGCTTATGACCACTTTCTTTGGGGAATAGATGACTAATTCATACTAATTCCAACCCCAAGCATATTGATCCAGGGAATTCAGAGGTCCAGGCTGTTCGTACTGTCATGGTCCGGATAGTCTTTTGGAAGCCAGGCTCGTCTATTTGCCATGGCCATGTGAGAAACCACATTTATTTATGCTCTACTAAAGTAGTCTACGGCATGCTCTAATTGATTGTCTATCACCAGTATTCGCTTGTGAACGAGATATGCCCCCCCACATAAACGAGATACTTTTGCTTGATGACACTAAAGTAGTCTGTCCGAGATAGTGTGATCTGCTACTAAAGTAGTCTGAACGAGATACTGTGACATGACCTCCTACTTACTGTAAGTAGTCTAAACGAGATAGGGCCCCCACATAATAGATAGTGTATTTAAGTTTTGTACCAAATAAATGCCGCTGCACATGTATATGTTAACCAAGATTTAATGAGCATGCAGCATACCGCATACCCTTTGCATTTGGAAACTTCAGGGGTGCTGTTTGGGGTCTGAGAATCTTACAGATTTGGGGGTTTCCCCACCTCATGAGTACACCGAGCCGTTTGGTATCGTTTTGTACGTCCCGTCTCGTGAGGTTTCACCCTTGTGTGCATCAAATGATGCAAAAAAAGAGTCTTTGGGGCCTGCTGCACCTGGTAGTAAAAAAAAAAGCACGCACGCACACACACACACACACCCAGAGGTGTATGACTATTGTCGTTGAAGTGAAGGACACAGAAGTGGGCGCTGTTCCTCCACAAACTGGATTGGGTACACTGCCGCCCAAAAAAGTTCTCCGCTCACCCGCAATGAACTTGAGCAAACCCTGAGTCTGGTCTCCCCAGTGGTTTTAGCACACCCCGAAGCACCCGCTCGCCTAGGGGGGTCCCAACTACAACCAGGGTGGCATTTCGCACAGGTCTTCCGTCTTCCTTTCTCATAGTCTTTAGAGTGAAAAGTCTTCATAGTCATCAGCGCATTCTTGATTTGGCCGACCAAATGAGCATGACCATGGAACAACAAATTCAATGATGTTTTGTTGTCATTTGGATCGATCTCATCATGCCTCTTTTCCAGAGAGTGCGGAGCTTGAACCAAACCCAGGCCGAGTTTGGCCAGAATTTTACAGAATTCAATCTGGCTACCTGGGCTACATACCAGAGAAAATGAACAGAATAGACTACCTAGCTCTCCAGGCTCGAGGCCGTTGAGCTCAGGGTGCACGAGACACCCAGGGCCGCTGGCCGGATCTCTTAGATTTGGGGGCGGCGTCCACTAAGCCTCCAACGCCATTGGAGGCATCTCGGTCCTTGTGGTATTGGGTTCCTTCGTGGCATCGATGAGGTCTGGTGATGATATTCATGATCGTTTGTTGGCCATGATCACCAAGAAGATTGAGAACCCCTGGAGGTCTAGGTTGTTGGATTTGGCTGGTGCTTTTTGCAAACCTGGTTTCACGATCAGGTTTTCTGGAAAGTGCTTGCTGCAGGGGAATATCCAGTCAACGAAAGGGAACATCGTGAGACTTTGTCCGCATTTCTTTCAACCTGGGTTGGGCTTTGTGGCTAGGTCGCATGCTCCATGGGAAGTTCAGGTGCCGTGTCTCTCAGAGAGAACGTTGAATTTAAGTGAGGGCGATCTTGTCACCCTTTATGGATCGATTGAGTATGAATGCGAGAACGTGTTCCACTTCGATGAGACCACCTGTGTGGTTCCTGTCTCTGAATGGGCTCGGGGTGCTCCTTTGAACTCATTTCACCTCTTCGCAGGCTCCTTCAATGGATGGTCCCAAGCCATCGAAGCAGTTCTTGAAGATGAATCCTTTCCTCCGCTTGGTCAACAAGTGTGTGTTGATAGTGACCCAGTTACGATGAGCTTGTGGTCCCATCAGGTTGGGAAACCCCATCATCTTGGCAGGACGTTGCCAGGTCATCCATGGAATCCGAGTGGTCATATTGGTGTCTGCACTCCGGTAGGGGACACTTCATTGATCCATCAGGTCAACTTTCCTTCGAACTCAGTCGGTACGGCTTCGCCACCATGTGTCTCTTGGAGCAGGGCAGGGAAATCGAAAGGCCTAAACTCGGATCCAGGTTTCGCTTTCGTTGAAGCCTTGGTCATCGTCTTTGTCCTTCGTCCCAATCTTCAGCTGTTCGAGTGCGCAGACGAAATCCTTCAGCACCAGCACTTCGGATTGATTTCGCACTTGCTTAAGCTTGGAGGGTATAAACGGGTGTGGCAACAGAACCTCAAGTTTCATCGCATGTCCGACAATCACCGTGATCGTTGGCTTTCCGTGTGGATTCGTGCTGATCACTCGCATGACACGAATACTTCTGTGTACCAGCTCTGTGATGAACCAAGGGTCCCATGGCACAGCACACAATACAATTTCCGCTTGCCTCAGGCATCCCGTGATGCCCTTCGGCTTTCCGATGACATGAAGACTATCTATGGTGATTGCAACCTTTTGCCTCCTGCCAAGAAGGCCAGGATTTCGCCTGATCACACACCAGAGCAAGTTCTTCGCCAGAGGATGATTCCCTTGAATGAACCACTCCCCACGGTTTGTGCCATGTACGGGAAACAACATGAGCTTGACCCCAGTCATGTCGCCCACAAGGGATTGTTCGCCTCCCTGGTGACCCAAGATGACTCGGTTGCTTTCATTGAACCGACCAGAATTGCTGCATTGTTGGGTGGGATCAACCGCATTTCGTTGCCGTCTAATCCGCTTGAGGCCTTTCATGGTTTAGGTAATGCGGTTTCTGTGCCACAAGCTTCACTCGCGCTGCTGGTAGGGCTCCAGGCAATCAGCAAGACTAATGTTGAAATTGAACGCATTGTAGGAAGGATTTGGAGCAAACGTTTGACTTCGACCAACTCTATCACTACCCAGGAAGGGGATTTCCTCACGATTGTCGATGTTCGTTTGCTCTTTGAACGTGTTTTTCCAACCTGCGCCGATTTGCCTATACCCAATGAAGTTTGCCTTGAAGCCTGAGCATGGAACCCACTGCACTCATGGGTCCTGTTCAGAAGCATGGTCAGTTGATCAGCTTCTTGGGAGCTTTGCACGGATTGAGCCGCTTGCTTTATCACAAGTCTCTCTTCGACATGGTCTTGTTGTGGCTTCAGCAGCGGACACCATCTCTGACCTGCTGTTGATCTCTGGCAGCTGGGACGCTTGTGCGGCAACAACTCGTGTAGCCACACTGACCTTCGAAGGCCAATTCGTTCCTGAGTGTGATCCCATCATCACTCCGACTTGTCCGTTTGTCCCCTTGCCACCGATCGAGGAGATCCAGATTCCGACTATGATCTATGAGCAGGAGATCAACAAGGAAGACTTTCTGGCTTTGATCAAGTTCTTTGAAGCTGCATCGGCAGAAGACTTGGTTGGTTGTGAGGAGGACTCCATCCCGATTATCCTGTGCTGTGCTGATCCACAGGTTGTCTTTGTCACCGCGAGAAAGCTTACTGTTGGCATTGAGGAGATCCATACGGTTTTGCACAGATTTGGATTCCCTCAGTGGACCTTTTGCCGTCTCCAGAGTTGCTCTGTCCGCTTACCACATCATGAGTGGTGGCTTCTTCAGCATCCTGACGCTGGGAAAGGTACGATCATCATTGAGCACCTCACCAACATCATTGACTACCAGCTCATCGTTGTTGAGGGTTATGTCACCCCATCGACTACCATTCACAGAGATGGCCAGACCTTTACAATTCAGCGAATCAATGGTATTGCTTTTGAGAGCCATCAGACACATGACTGCCGACATGGTGATGTCTTCACAGTTGTTCATCGTGACCCAGTTCTTCGACAGCTTGTTGACACGCACAGAGTGTTCGCTGGAGGTCATCCTGCATCCAACGAGGTGACCTGGCATTTGAGAGAAGGGGCAAACTTCTCTGAAAGATGTGAATTTGCCGTCAACACCAATGGATGGTGTGCCTCAGATGAGATCACCTATGCCATGAAATGGGTTCTTGAGGCACAAAGAGATCAAACCAGGGCCTTTGCTATCCTTCAGTGGAATGGCCAGGATGCTGATTTTGATGAGACCATCTTCATGTTACCCAATGTTCCGCCTGAGTCCACGGCCTGGTTTGCCATTTTGGTTGGGAGCCATTGGACGGGCTGTGAGATCACCCGCTTTGGGGATGATGTACACATCACAATCCTTGGCCTCGATAGCCTCAAAGCCCACAGGCTTTCGCAGATCTTTGCCCGTCGACTTGACACAACACAAAGGAAAGTTCAGACCTTTGTTCATGCTTTCACTCAGCCGTTCAACATGTGTGGATGGGCTTTGATCTACCGATGGTATGAGAAGCTTGGGCAGCATGACCACCTACATTCCTATGAGGAGGACCTCGAGGACCTCGTCGAATGGAAGTACACCTTGATCCATGACGTCCTTTCGAGTTCCATAGAAGATTGGCTTGCAGCTGAAGCCAAACCGGAACTTTGGCATTTCGCTCACCAGATCCGCCTGGGCTGCTTCTATCACATGGCTTTGGCAGAGAATGATGCAGCTCCAGTGATTGACCATGCTGTGGTTGTTGATCTTCCACGAGGCCCGCCTTTTCCGTGTCCTGGCAGGATTCTATACTTTGAGGAATACAACAGATTCATGAAGGAGTTCCAAAATCGTCGAGTCGATGAATTTCATCGCTTCCCTGGATGGCTGGGCAGTGATGTCGCAGATTGCGTCCTCCAACACCTTCGTGGAGCTCTCCCGGACACAGCTTTTACAGCTCCAGTTCTGTGGAATTCACTGCAGAGATCCATGTGTACATTCAGTGGATACACTGATGACTGTCGCTTCCATCGGAAGGCCATCTCCTTG